AATTGTATCAAATCTCGCAGGGACGCAGTTCACTGATGCTGATGAGGCAGCCAAAACAGACCCCAGCTCCTGCGCTAATGAAGGCCGCTGCCTGCCTGCGCAGCGAGGGAGCCCGAGCGCATAATAAACGGGCGCGTCCTCTGGGAGGAGCTGCTGCTGCCCAGGCCCTGGGCTCTGGGGACCTGGCGGGAGGTCTGCACCAGCCCACCAGGCTCCAGCTGCAGCAGAGACTCCTGCTGCGGAGGACCATCGCCTTCACTTGAGAACTAACACTTGAGAATTAACCTGGGCAGCTTCAGGAGGCCAGGCAGGTGGGCTGGGTCAGGGCCACCCTGAGAACCTGCCGCCCCTACACGGCAAACTTAGGTATGCCCCCAACATCCACTGGCTCCATCTGGGAGTCCCTCTTTCCCTCTCCTCCAGAATGACCCAACAAGGCCAGGGCCCCAGCCCCTACACACACACACACATGCACACACCCCTGCCACTGCCCCTCTGGATTGTCTTATTAGGCAGGGAGGCCAGACTGAGACTACAAAGCTCATCCAGTCACTGCTGGCCTAGTCTCCATCTGCCGTGGAGGCCATCTGCCCCAGTCGAGGAGGGGTGGTCATGGTTTATAACGCTACCAGCCAGTAGCAGGACAGGGTGGTGCCCGGGAGTCTCCACGTGCCAGATGGACCCTAAATCTCCCCACATACCACTCCACCTCAAGAGCTCTCTCTGAGAGAGGGACACTTGCCCTCCAACCCCCTGGGATCAAATTAGCTCGCAATGCAAGAGGGCCACCATTTCCCCAGCCCCTGCCCATCCCAGTCCCCTGGCAATCCACAGCTGGCCACAGACTCCAGAAGTAGAGGGTGCCGCATAGGTCCTCCCCTGTCTTTATGCAGGAAGGCAGGTGCTACCACCTCTAAAGGGACTGTCCCCAATGCTCTACGCAGCCTGGCTCCAACCCCCTCCTCTTAACCCCTCTGTCACTGGCCTCAATGTCGCTGAGCAGCTGAGAAGATGGGGAAATTTTCAGTGCTCTCGGGACATGTTTCTGCTGTAGAAGCTGGTTTTTTGGTTTGGAAAGGTTTTTTTTTTTTTTTTCCATCCAGTAATATGAAAACATGAAACCTGAAACCAACCCCCCCCCCATATTTGTCACCTCAGAGAGAAGCCTTTGGGGGAACTGGGAGAGAGCTGTAAATGAGTCAGGCTGATTCAGGGCGGGGGGCGGGGGGGGAGGCTGCCTCCAGGGCACCACAATTCATTAACACTTATGATCTGGGCTTGGCCGTCAGGCGACAGATGACAGGAGGAAAGGAAAGGGCTTCCTTTCCACCCTCTACCCCAAAGAGCAGTCCCCCGATGAACTCCTCTTGGTGAGAAGCAGTAGGTCCCTGGCTCTGTTTGGAACCTGCCTCTATCACCACCCTCAGCACCACCGCCCCACCAGGTCACCTCGCCCCGCACCAGAGAGGGAAGGATCATGGCCATTACCAGGGCCATCGAGGGACGCAGACAACTGGGCAGGGAGAATGAGGCAGCCCCTTCAGTTAGGGGAGATACAGGTTAGACTGCACTTTCCCAAAAGTACTGATGATGCATCTGGAAATAAGGAACAAGGAGATTACTTATAGGGAGTCTGAAGAAGCAGGAGAGATTTTTTCCATCTGAACAGAGAAGTCAGGAACGGAGAACAAGCAGAAGCATGAACCGGGCAGCCTCCCGAACCTCCTAAGTCTACGCACTGGGCTTGGGGAAGGAAACTCTGCCTCTTGGAATTCTGTAGCTGCTCTCTGCCTCCTCCCCGCAGTTCTGCTCAGACAGACCCAGGGAGCCGGGCGGCAGGAGCCCTGCCAGCAGGGAGGCCCCGTGACCTGGCTGGCAAGAAAGCGCACCCTCTGACCCCAGGAGACAGCTGCACAAGAAACCTGCAGGCTCAGCCCCAAAATGGTCTTTCAGGTCCGCCTTCGACTCCGCTCACCTGGGGCTCTGAGCCAGGACTCCCACCCAGGCTTCCCCCGCCCATCTCCGACACCCCGCGCATGAGGCTCTGTGAACTGGCGCTGGGAGAACTCGAGGAGGAAGGAAGGCCAGCACCAGACACCCACTCACCTCTCTGTCTCAAGTCCCAGCAGGCCCGGCCTCGCTGGCCTCCACAGGCCGGCGGAGCCAGTCTGCACCTACCTGCAGCCTCCCCTGCTGGCAGTCGCGCAGCTCTCATTGCTCGCTGCCCCACAGCCAGCAGCTCAGGGAGCGAGCAAGCCGCGAACACAGCTGCACATGGGCAGCCCCCACAGTCTCAGTGGAACCACCCATCAGTGGACCACCTGGGACACAACAGTCTTCCTCCATGATCCTTACCAGAAATGTGAGCGGAAGGGCCTTTCCTGCCCAGTCCCTTGGGGGCCACACCGATCTCAAGGTGGGGAGAGGGGAGGCGGGGAAGGAAGTGGACTGGGGTGGAGAACATCTTTTTTCACAGGAACTCACTTACATGTCATTAACTCCAATAACCAAATGCTTACTAAGCACCTATGTAGTACTGGGTGCTTTCAACACCAGCACCCTGAGAGCTAACCTCAGCAAAGGGGCAGCAGCTCCACCTACTGGGCCCTTCCCCACTGTGTTGCCAAGGATGGGTCCAGTATGAGGTTTTCTTCAAATAAACCCAGAACAGGGGTTTATTTATTATTATATCAAGCCCAGAACAGGGCTTGATAGGCTACTGCTTCAATCAGAAGGGCCCTAGGAGGTGTCAGTGGACTAAGACAGAGCTGGGTTAGCCAGTTCTCTGTGTTGGAGGGGCCTGGGGCTTCTATGTCGCCTGTGTAGCTGCTGCTTTGGAAACTTGGGTTTGTATAAGAGATCTGATTCACATGTGTTCTGCCAAGAAAAATGCTCTCCACCTCTGGAGGATGCCACATTCTCCTTGGCACAGCTAGAACAGATGCCACCAAGAGCCCAAGCACCCTCTGGACCTGGATGGGATGGATCATAAAGAAACAATAGTCTCTTTTCCAAGCAAGGAGCCAGGAGTCTGAGGTTCCGACAGGCACGAAAATGTCAGAGCCTTTGGCCTGTTTTCAGGACCCATGAAGCTGGAGCCGCTTAGGTTCATCAGAGGGGCAGCCAATCTTTCCCCTTAGAATCCTTGGGCCTCAAAGACAGCCTTCAGTTTAAGAGCAGCTCTGGACCCCTAGGCTTCCCAGGTGGCACTAGCTAGCGGTAAAGAACCCACCTGCCAATGCAGGAGACGTAAGAGACGCAGGTTCAATCCCTGGGTTGGGAAGATCCCCTGGAGAAGGAAATGGCAACCTTGCCTGGGAAACCCATGGACAGAGGAGCCTGGTGGGCTACAGTCCATGGGGTCACAGACAGGACAAACTGAGCGGCTTTCAGGATCCCTAGCTTTATCCCCGTACAGAGCTAGTGCTCTGATGCCTTCTACCCTGAACTTACTCGGTGAGGATGGACCTTCCTGCTCCATTTGACCTGTATGTATCATGTGAGGACTTGTGGGTGAGTAACCTGTGTCCAGGGGCTTCCCTGGTAGCTCAGTTGGTAAAGACTCCGCCTGCAATGCAGGAGACTCCAGTTGGATTCCTGGGTCAGGAATTTTCCCTGGAGAAGGGAGAGGCTATCCACTCCAGTCAGTATTCCTGGACTTCCCTGGTGGCTCAGAAGGTAAAGAATCCACTTGCAATGTGGGAGACCTGGGTTCCATCCCTGGAGTAGGGTATGGCAACACACTATTCTTGTCTGGAGAATCCCCATGGACAGAGGAGCCTGGCAGGCTACACACAGTCCATGGAGTTGCAGTCAGACATGACTGAATGACTAAGCACAGCACAGCAACCTGCATCCATGAAACCTAGTGTAGTGAACCAGAGGGTATGCAGATATGCACACACCCATGTTTCAGCCTGAGCGGTTGGTACCATGTGCATCTATTAACCTGAGAGTCTACAGTGTGGGCAGCTTTGTGTGGGAGCGTGCTCCACCAAAAGCATTTAGGTGTGCTCCCCACCCTTTTCCCACCTCTCCCCCAAGCAGGGACAAGGGAGTCAGAGCAGCAGGATCAAGCTGTGCCGTCCCAGGAACAGACTGCTGCTGGATCGGCCTGTTCCTCTGTCCAACACCCATGTGATGAGTCCTTTCCTGGCTCAGGTCTCAGCTCTCCAGATGCCTTTGTCATAAGACTATCAACATTCACTTAGCTCAGCACCTTTCCAGACTGGGAAGCGCTTCCTTCCTGAAGGCAAAAGCTGCTGGCTTCTAATCCCTTGGCTCTTCTTCCTGTTTTCCAGGGCCCCCAGATCTATATCCCACCGAGTACACCCTGACGAAACAGGCTTTCATTTTAAGCTTTGTACAGAACCTAACAGTCATGGAAATTAAGTTTTAACTTCTTTTTTTAAAAATCTTTAAAATCTACACAGAGCAGTTCCCCCTCTAGGGAGTGAGGTGTAAGCAAGCCTCCCAAAATCCTGCTCCTCCCACATCTGCTCTAAGCATGCTCAGCCCTGTCCTGACTGGTCTCGGCCTACCGTCCCTGTATGGGCAGGGAAGAGAAGGGTGAGACTCTGGGAAGTCTGTGTGTCTGCTGCACACACCCTGGGGCTGGGGTCTCTATTTCCAGGGTGAAGGCTTGTACCAAACCATTTAGAGCCTTGCCATCAAGAACTGGCCAGGAGGGCAGGAACACAGAGCCTGGTGTGAGTTTCAGCAATAAAGAAGTGCCCCTGTGAGTTCCTGATTCCAAAGGTTTCTACCTGCAGCTGTAAAGTGTTAAAAAAAAAAAAAATCCTTCCTGGACAACTTATGCAGCCACCTGAATATCCAATAAGTGAAGAATGAATGAGGGTAACATCAGTCTATCCACTGTATAAAACACTATGCAAATAGTAAAAATATTTAATTTTTACTGTGAGCATATATTACTTTTAAAAATTTAATGATGTAACCAAATGGAAAAGAGCTAATGATTTAATAGTAAACGAAAAAAGTAGGCCATAAAAGTGTTTAATTACAACCCCAAAACACAAAAACCAACAACAGTGCTAACTTTCACAAAATGGAGGAAATAAACCAGGATGCTATTGGTAGTTGTTCACCCCAACTCCCCTGATGTCCTAGCCTGTAAGTATATGCAAAAGTTATCTGCTGTCCTTGAATAAGTATTGGGCTTAGGGATGAACTCATTTGTTTGCCAAATTTGCTATATAAAAGATTATACTCCTTATAAAATGAAAAAAATGGAAGTATATAAAAATAAGACCGGTGTCAGGGAGTTCCATGGTGGTCCAGTGATTGAAATTTGGCACTTTCATTGCCCTGGGCCTGGGTTTGATCCTAGTAGGCAAGCTGGGATCCGAGAAGCTGCACGGCTCAGCCCAAAAAAAAGACTGAATTCAATAACCCACAGTTCAGATGGGGGGAGGGGCTTTAATGTTGTTCGTATCAAATGTCAAATCTGCAAAAAAATTATGGTTACAAACAGGAAAAACCAAGTCACTTAGACCAATGGAATTTGAAGTTACTGGGAAAAGAAAATGTAAACTCTGTTCCATGTGGAATGACAAGGCTTATAACACCTCAACGTTTTCGACGACTCTCAAATTTGTAAATAGCTGGGGAGTTCACTGTTTCTTTCTTCACTTTCACCTTCCGAGTTTTATCCTACAAAAGAATAAAAAAGTTACCAGTAAATCACAGCAGAGGGCTGTGTAAAATAGAAAGTTGAATAACTAAAGCCCCTAATTCAGCCCATCTCAACATTCAAAAGAGACAAAGCCCTCCGTTCTAAGGCATCCCTGACTGGATGACTCAAGTCCTCCCCCAGGCTTCCATAATGATGTTGGCTGTGCAGAAGTTCTTGTGAAAACTGAGAAGAAAGGTCCTCAAATCATTTTTTTTTCTTTTTTGGTAGGGCTTCTCTTACGGAACCCCAGTTGAGAAAGGCAGACCAAAATGATCTGCAAAGCCAAAGAATTTGACATTTAGAGGAATGATAATAATATGAAAGGAGCATCTTATATTCCTTAGTTCTGCTATTTAACTACACAATGTTGTCTATTTTTAAATACCAGTGAATGACACGCACTGTTTTGTTAACCTGTTTAAATGTTACAGATAGCTGTTCATAAGCTATAAAGTTCACATGCCACCCGATCCTACCCTTAGCTGTTCCAAAGCACGGACTAATAAGCCCCTTATTACCTTCTTAATCAAGGAACATTTCAAGACTGTCAGAGTAACAGACACTGGCTCAAACCACTGCCCCTGAGGAGCAGACATTTTCACTGGGGTTGATTTACACACAGCTGAAATCCAGTTTCAGTTAAGACCTTTACAAGGAAAAAATAAAATGAATGCCTAAGGCTCTCTCTCCTCACCAGAAGATCTTTGCGAGTCTGAATTTTCTGTGCAATAACGAACAATTTTTTCTCACGCTCAATCCGCTGTGTCAGGCAGTCATACTGCTTCTGCCTCTCTTTCGCTATCCGCTGCAGAGAAAGCACACATTTTCAGTGAAACAATTAACAGGATAAAACTGAGTAAAAAACTGTTTTTGAGTCCACTTAGGCCCAAATGCATAAATGGTTTCATCAATTCCCTCCTTACTTCAGAATCAATGTAATAAGACACTCTGAAGTTGTCCATTTTAAAAGCACCGCATTCCAGAGACCAACGGAACCTTGGAGACTTCCCCAGGGACACACGGTTCACCTGGAGCAGAGGCAGGACTGTGCCTCAAGACTCACAGATCCCAGGAATCTTTCCACTACTGCTCGGAGCTGCTTCACCCTTTGAGTGAGCATCCCAGTCACCTAACATGACGCAGTATAGAGAGAAGCAGAGAAGGGTCCCTGGGCAGTGACCGCAGAACTCAAGAGAGCAGAAGGACTCTGTCAGTAAAATTCTCACTGCTGATGACCCCTCACAGTCCAGCAGCCCTTCACTCTTCCATGGTGACACCATGGACAGGAACTCCCCTGCCAGTGTAGGGGACACGGGTTCAAACCCTAGTCCAGGAAGATTTCATGCACCACAGAGCAACTAAGCCCGCACATCCCAACTACTGAGCCAGCAAGCCCTCGCGCCCATGCTCGGGAACAAGAAAAACCACCACAATGAGAAGCCCTTGCACCACCACGAGAGAGCAGCCCCTGATCACTGCGACTAGAGAAAACCCCCATGCAGCAATAAGACCCAGAGCAACCAAAAAAAAAAAAAAAAGAAATGGTCCTTCAATACGAGGGAATTATGGACCTCTGAGAAAGCTTTGGATTCTTTCTTTTTTTGGAGGTTCTTTCTTGACATAAATGTATATATATATGTTTGTATTAAATTCATACAAACATACATACCTAGTCACATAAAATTTTAAGGTGGGAAGAGGATGTTCACAGACTTCCTATAGCCCATTCATGGATTCCCCAAACCCTGTAAGTTACAGACTAAAAATTCCCTTATAAGCCACCACTAGCAGTCTCTTAATCAAAATAATTTTGCTTTAAATAAGAGATTTAAAACGACCACCACCACCAGACAAAAGGGCAAGACTCAAACTTTCCCAACTTCTCCAAAGGTACGCTGGTGAACTATCCTACACAGGACCAGTCTCTTTAGGACCTACTCCAACACCTGAGACGTGTCAGTAAGACAGCTAAGTGAAAACACAACTCCCGGACAAACAAAGTCAGCACTAGAACACTAGGTCAGCCAGCTCTTCAGCTGGAAGTGTTAGCTACAAAGAGGGGAGTATTACTGGGCCTGAGACTTAAACGATTCACCAATTCTAGCATAGTCTCACAGCAGTGGTTTCAGACAGCTTTTGTTTTCACTTCATTGCACAGACTGTCAAATTTATGGGATTACCCAATATAGTCAAACTAATTAGGGGTATTTATATTACTAAAGCAAGTTTAGCTGCCTCTGAGCTAGAGAAGCTGCTGTGAAATTAAACATTGGAAGCAAAGCTGATGCGGTGTAAATGATTCAAATCAAAACAGAACAGCTGTCTGCTTGAAACACATTGACAGCAGTTTTTTAAATGAATCAGTCAGAAGTGAGAGTTCAACTCCAGAAGACTTGGAGAAAAAGCATGTCTTCTACATGAACCCAGTTATACCAGTGGAAAACACCATAAGGACAAACTGATACAAAATCTGGGCTACAAATGCAGAACATGAAAGACCTTTGGATATGCATAGGCACTGTTAAAGGTTTACTATCAAAGTATACTAAATCCCTTCATCTTCAGTGTCCCCCTCCCCCCTTCTCTATATTTTAAAACTGTAACCATCTGTTGCAGCATTGAAAGCAGAAGCCCAGGGTCAGAGGTGGAGTCAAATGCAGACCTAGGGAATTCCCTGGTGGTGCAATGGTTAGGACTCCATGCTTCACTGTGGCCCAGATTCAATTCCTAGTCAGGGAACCAAGATCTCACAAACTTCACAGCATGGCAAAAAAAAAAAAAAAAAAACAAGAAGAAGAAAACAAATGCAGATCTAAAGACCAGAACCTATGCTCCTGACCACTATGCCACACATCCTCCAATCTTAGAAACTAAGAAAACTTCCTCCACTTCCATTCCCATCACCAAATTCTCCTCCTTCTTCTCCAAGAGAATTTAGTACTTTTTCCACAAATAATCTTATGGAATGCTGGGGGAGCAGAAACCTAGATTCCCATAAACTCAGACCTGAAGAAAAATGGAGAAACTTACCTTAAGTCGAGTTTGATTGTTAACTCCTTTCACTTTCTCCTTCTGCAAGGTCTCTATCGTGGGCCTGTTAAAGACTCTGTCAACCAGTTCTGGGGCTGTTCGCAGGTGAGTGGCAATATCAAACTGTTCAACTGAAGGTCAAGACAATCCTTAAGGTGATGTCTCTAACACCGAACAACACAGACCAACATGCCAGACTGTCCCAGAAACCTTCATACACTTCATACCTTCCTTTTTGGTGTCAAAAAAAAACACATGTTTATTCTGTTGCTTCCCCTGGAAATCCAGCAGATGGAGCTCTGCTTTTAGTCTTTCAATTTTCTGGAACACAGAATATAGTCTCATTTTATGTTGGGTTCTTCTAGGATATCACAAATGAGTTTGCAAAAGTTTAGACCATTTCACATCATTACCACCAAGCAGCAAAGAATTTGCTTCATTCTTTCAAAAGGACGGACCACTAGAATGTATCAAGCACCAACCACATGTCAGCTACGGCATAGCCAGGCACTGCACAAAACTCATTTAATCCTTACAACAATTCTATGAGATAGAAATAAGGAAACAGACCCAGGAACTTCATTTGTCCATAATCATGGGGTTAATAAAAGGCAGAGCCCGAATTTAAACCTAAATCTGTCTCATTCTCAAACTTGACCTCTTTCTACTCTACCATGCTAAATATACCTTTAAAATATTATCATAAAAAAAAAAATGTATCATAATCAAGTGTACTTTAAGATTAGAAATGCCAGAAGGAATCAACTTATAACTTGAGATCAATGGATTTCTATTTCTCTTCTTAACCAACAAAAACATATCAGGATAAACATTTTTAGTTGTTACCTTTGCTTCTGCAACCCTTTTCATTTCTATATATTTGATATCCTGAGTTCTCATTAGCTTCAGCTGTTCTGGAGTTACTTCTTCCTTCGTCTCTTTAATAACATGAACTCCATCCTAAAAATCCAAATCGAGAAGATACAGTTCCTATTAAGAGTAAAATCATTAACAAGTTGTTGGCACAGTTCATGGCTGGACCAAAGGCTACATATGACAGCCACTCAATGCACCAGGCCTCTAAGACATTTTCAACTCAGCACCTCCTGTCACCAACTCAGAACAGCTCCAGCAGTATTTGGATTTAACCTACACACTACAGAGAGAAGTCTAAGAGAAGTGTTCTCTAAATATGGCCCAATGACTGACATGTCTATTGCACTATGACCAGCAGTCTAGACGTTCAAGTTGTATACTTTGAAAATGTAGATGATGCCAAGGAAGCAAAAAGAGTGTGCCAATGGAATGGAGCTTGATGAACATAGGATCACAGTTGATTACTCTATAACATAAAAAAACACATAATCCTACACCAGGAATCTACACGGGGAGATCTACCTATGGGAGCTCATGCCGTCAAGATCACTACAACAGAGGATATGATCGAGGCTATGATGTTCAGGACTGTCATGGTGGATCATACGAAGGACGTGAAGGCGGAGGATGGGGAACTGCTCAAGACAGGGACAAGGCCTACAGAAGATAGTGACTGTCTTCTCCCTGCTGTAGTTATGGAGGATACAGATCACATCCCAGATCGTGATCATATTCACCTCACTGCTATTAAAGCAAGAAGTTGAAGACTTTCTAAAGCCAGTCCTAGAGTTAGGATATTGTCTGTGGATAACATTTTTTAAAAAGTGAACAGTGACTTTTACACCTTCTATGATGACTACTTTTGGTGGAATTGAAATGTTATTTTCATTCTGCACTCAGTGCTTTGTTGTGTTTTCAGAAAAGCATGTTCTGCATGTATTTTTTTACAGTCTAAATTCTGACTGCTGAGAAGTTTCTACTGTACAAAATTTCATCTAAACGGTTTTTCTACTGAATCCAGGGTATTCTTAAGATCGAAGCCTGTGTGTAAAATCCTTCCAAAGGCAAAAAGCAACAATAAAGTTTGGATTTTACTTTTCTAACATAAAAAAAGGGAAAAATAATGGGAATGGTTCCAGGCATCAAACAACTGAGATTCAGGGGCAGAAACACATGCTGCTCGTGAAAGGGCAGCTTCACCCTGGATACTGACCAAGAGCACCTGACCAACTGCAGAAGGGCTAAATAAAAGCCCAAGATCCTCTCTCTCCATCTCCTCCCTCATCCTTATTTTCCTTTTTGAGTTGGAGCTCAAAATACCAACTGATCCATTAAGCACTCACCTGGAGTTTAACCCGGGTCATTTTATAGTAGAATTCATCTGGATTTTTTTCCAGAGCCTTTTTCCGGAGAGCTCTGAGGTATTCTTGCTTTTTCCGGTAGTCACTAAAAAGCAGGTTAAACAAGTTCACAGCAAAAAAGAAGAAAAAAACCACAACAAGCAAACTTTACAAGCATCTAGTGATATATACAAAATGAAACTCAAAAGAGCCGAAGGGGTGACTAGATTCAATCCACACTCCACTGTTGCAGACCTTGTTCATCTCTCTGCGGTTTCACTCCTATCCCAGTTCTACCTGAAACTAATAACAGTCCTTTTTTCATGTAAGTTTTAGTGCCATTTACATCATTACAGGGAGAGACCCAACAAAGCACAAATTAGAACTACTCAGACAGGATTATGAGGCAAGTCTGAGCACCAAGTAACCAAATAAGTTTCAGAAACTACACGCTGTACTACAGCACAGCAACTAAAATCGTGGGCTCTGGAGCCAGACAGTCTGTGTTCAAACCCTGACTCCAACACTACTGGCTGAGTAATCGTGGATAAGTTAGTTCACCACTCTGCATCCCAATTTAATTTGGGAAATGGGTGTGATAATAGTATCCCCTCAAGATTGCTAGGTGGAATAACTGAGTATAAAAATGATAACTCTTGTAGAACACTGTCTCAGTTATTATTATTATTTGCCTGAAAAACTCTGGGACCCAGAGCAACCCACTGAATCCATCACCATCTGCTCTGGGAGCATAAAAAAGGACCTCAGCTGACATGCATGGCTAACAAATAATTATAAAATACTTTGCAAATAAAGTGCTAAAGAAAAAGAAGAATGGGGATAATTGTTTTATAAGATGTTTTCAGAGTTCATTATCACCCACGCTCAGTCCCATGAATCCATCTTTCACATCTCTTCATTCCACACCACACATGGTGATGTAAGAGGCTCAACAACTGGAATGTTAGATTTTATCTTGAACGTCAAGAAAAGAGAGAGAAAAAAAGATTCAGCTTTTGGCTCAGACACCAAGGCAGAAGCAAATCAAAGCCACCATGAGAAAACGATCTGGAACAACATAATAAAAAAAATTCACAATGCAACGATAGTTAAATAAATAATGCTCCGCCTAAACAAAGAGAGAAGTTTAGGGTCCCAGAAAAGTATCTGACAGGCTGCCAGAGCTTTTGGCCATTTTATCAATGGCAGGAAATTATCCCCTGTTGGACACTCAGGCAATTCAGCTGCAATACAGGGAGGTTGTAAGCTTTTTTGGCAGCACCTCTACTAGAAGGACTACACTCACTCTGCACGAAGCTTGTAATCTTTCTTTTTCTCCAGCAGGCCCAGATGTTTTCGAAAGCCAGGCTAGAAAACAAAAGGAAAAAAAATGCTTAGTTTCCTCAGCAAGCACATATCCGAATCGACATGACACCTGCCAGGAACAAGAGTCTCTGGAGCGCTCGGTCAATCCCTTCCCGGCGGCCAATGTGCCACCCTGTTCCTCCCCCCCGCCCCCGACTGGGCTCTGCCCCAGGATGAGAGGCCATGCAGGCGTCAGAGGGGTCACAAGGACGGCCATGGGAGGCTTCCTGGCCTATTAAGGACAGAGAAAGGCAACAATGACTCGGCACCAGGCGAGCAGTTGCCAGTTGTACTAAAATTACTACGGACTTAATCCAAGGGTTTATAAAATACTATGAAGGGAAAACATAGTAACAGGGAAGCAACTGTGGTTAAGAGAGCTAAATTTAGAGTCTGAAGAACTGGGTTCAAATCCAAGCTGCACCTCTTAACAATCTGTGACCTTGCGCAAGTCACTTCACTTCTCTGAGTTGCTGTTTCGTAACTATAAAGTGCTTCAAAAGATTGAAGGCAAAGGAAAAGAGGGTGGCAGAGAATGAGATGATTATAGTATCACCGACTCAAAGGACATGAACTTGAGCAAACTCCGGAGATAGTAGAGGACAGGGAAGCCTGGCGTGCTGCAGTCCATGGGGTCGCAAAGAGTTGGACATGATTAAGCAACTGAACAACAACTCTAAAGTGAGAATAACGGGACCTACTTCTCATGATTACCCTGAGAATTAAATGAGACTTTAAAGTGGTAGCTACCTGCACATAGCAGGTGCCCAGCATATGTGTACTGTTATAATTCTAATTTTGGTACAAAGCATGAGAGAAAACCAAGAATGACAGAAAATACTTTCTCTAATAGAGAATTTGGATAGCATGGTAGGTATGAGGATTAAACCTTGGTATTATCTTTCTACAAGCTATCACTTGTTCAGCACTTAACCTATGGCAAGGTCAGTGCTAGCAACTTTTGCCTACATCATCATAACAGGCCACATTTGCTAAAAATTACTATTACATCTTAGGCGATTTTGAAAACATAAAATTAAAGGAAAGAAAAAAATCATTATAAAGAATTTGCATGTACTTTTACTTTACTTTAGTTTGTAACATCTAGGAGCTTTGACATTCCCAGAAGGTTTTTTTAAAAAAAAAAAATGCCTATTCTCCTATAAGGATGAGTACATAACATGAGTAAATAAAATTCTTATCAATGTGGGGGAAAAAAAAAAAGAATCACTACTACAAAGCAATCTGCTAGGCTCATTAAACACAATCTCATTTATCCCCAAACAATCATGGAAAGAAAATAAAGCAGGCACAACTGTTATCCCATTTTTCCAAAAAGGGAAGGCAGTTTAACGAACAGCTTGCCCAAGAACACAGAAAGAACTAGTAAGTGGCAAAGCTAGAACTAGACCCATTCTATCTAGGGCCACAGTCTGCTCTTCCCCACTCTCCTACACTGCATCCTCTTCCACCCTGAATGATCTTGATCTTTGAGTAAGTACATAAACTCACTGTTTAAACTTCTATAATAACTTGGATGGGATTTTTAAGTCTGCTTTCTCATCCTCTATCCCTGAAGTGTTGCAAGAAATAACTCAGTATTTAAAATAATACCCAAGCCCTCTCGTGATCATTATTTTAATTACAGCAAAGGGAGGCTGACAGAGAGTAGAGAGAGAAAACCCAAGCATCAAAAGAGCAACAAAGTGAGGCAGAGACCTTGGAATCTGTCATGTCCACTTGAATGTACATCTGTGTTACAGGAGGAAGCGTGGCACTGAATCTGAAATAGTTCACATAATTACCCCCTCCATACCAACTATCTTCCAGTGCTCCCCCACTGAAGCAGTGAGGACCGACAGGAAAGGATCCAAACTTTACCCAAACAGGGACTGCTCTCCTCAATGTGTTTACCGCCTTTTCCAGTACGGCCTTCTCACCTCTCCCACAAAGACCCTCTACTCCCACTCACACATGGCCTCTGTCTTCTCTGTGAATCTAAATCAACTACTCAAAATTGTGCCTTTGGTCACACTAGTCAGGCTCTTTAAGCATCAGATTCCTCATTTGTAAAATGAGGATAACATTCTCCTCACAGGGATGTAGTAGGATTACATGAGATAATCCTTATACAGCACGTTAGGCTGGACCTAGCATATGGTCAGTGCTCAAAGAGACAGCTATTATAATTGCCTTCCAAGTCCAACAGATCTCATAGTGATGCTTTCTCTCATCATCTCTCCTCTTCCCACTCATGTTTCTTATTGGGAATTTTTGCTTTTCCTTTGTTTAAGAATTTTTTTTTCCCTTTTTTTTTCTCCCCCTCTCATTGGGCATTTTTTACACATCTCTTACAAAGCTGCTTCTTTGTTCAACCTTTGGTGGCTTTTGGATTCAGAGATCTGATCCCTGACTTTGTCAACTGCCAGCTATAGATGTATGTCTTGGGGCAAATTATTTAACCTATATGAGCCTCAGCTTCTCCATCTGCAAATGTAACATAACAGTAGTGCCTACTTTCACACACCACTGACAGCTAAATGAGATAACAGAGTAAAGCATTCTGCACTTTGTCTGGTTCTGGCACACAATAAGCACTTCTAGCTGTTATTACTTTTAGATAGATATATGTAGATCTATCTATCTATCTATCATATCTATCTTGTTTGTAGGTCCAAACAAGGTGGCAAATTACACTAGTCCCAATACACCACTGAGCACACAGCAAGTGCACAATAAATGTCTGATAAATGCTATTGAGCTGGAAGACTAAACTGTGGTTGGGAGGCCTTAGTTGCATCCCATCCCATCAGTGACACAACTTTAGATACATCCTTCTCTCTTTCCCATCTGTAAAATGAAGTTGGACCAGACACCCCTAAGGGCCCTTCTGGATCAGATATTGTGTGATTCCTGATTAAATGAATTCCCACTCAAGTTCCCCACACAGAGACAACCCCCACAAAAGTCCTACAACTGTTTACCTGGCCTGAATTTGGTGTTTTTGACCAGGCAAGCCAACTCTGTTCTTTGAACCTCATTTTCCCCACCTACATAATGCGCTATCAAGAAAGCTGAACACCAAAGAATTGATGCTTTTGAACTGTGGTGTTGGAGAAGACTACTGAGAGTCAGTTGGACAATCAGAGGTCCAACCAGTCCATCCTAAAGGAAATCAGTCCTGAGTATTCATTGGAAGGACTGATGGTGAAGCTGAAACTCCAATACTTTGGCCACCTGATGCAAAGAACTGACTCATTTGAAAAGACCCTGACGCTGGGAAAGATTGAAGGCAGAAGGAGAAGGGGACGACATAAGATGAGATGGTTGGATGGCATCAAGGACTCAATGGACATGTGTTTGAGTAAACTCCGGGAATGCACAGGGAAGCCTGGCCTGCTGTAGTCCATGGGGTCACAAAGAGCCGGACACAACTGAGCGACTGAACTGATAAAATGGGCTTGGAAAACATGAACGTTAAGGGGAAGACATAACAAAAAGCGTATGAAGCAGATCTTCAGGGACCTCAAAACTCAGGCATGATAATGATACTGCATTAGTAACATCAATCTCTTCGGGCTCAGCCGACAGACGCAGTGGACAGAGCTGAGCATCTTTAAATGCGGATTCCAGTTTCAGTCAGGACACTTAATGGCTGTGTGAACTTTGACCTCAACTTCCCGTAAGAAAATCAAACACTTTACACACAGTATCTTATTTAACCACCTCACCGAAACCTATAATGATAGCTTTATCTCCCAGGAATAAGGACAGCCGTTCTTTTCTTCGAGACCATCCCCTCCTCCCCAACGGCGAGGCTCCGCCCCAGCCACGCCGGCGTCGCTAGCATATATTTACATGTATTTACTTATACCATTCCCCTCACGGAAAAGGACAAGATCCGCAGGTGGTGGGGTGGGGAGGGCTGGGGCGAGAATAGCACATGGGCCCACCAGCCAGCGCTCAGTGGGGCCTGTGGGACCCTACCTGGCTTCGCTCACGGTGTTCCCGCTGCCGGGACTTAGCCGCCTTCCGAAATGCCGCCGCCATGTCTGCTCACTCCTGGAAAAGCTCTCTACAACAACGCCGGTTTCGCACCGCTTCAGCCGCAGGACCACCGATCCTACCGGAAATAAGCCAAGACACCCGCGACTTAGAACCGCCCACTTCCTCCCCGCAGCCTATCCAGCGCCTGTCTTTCCGGAAATACGTCATCTAGTAAAGGCGTCCACCACAGGCTACTTCTGGGAAGTGTAGTTCTCTAGGTCTAGTCTCGTGAGTCTACAACCTCCGGTTCTTATTCGCCAGAGCTTGCCCACGTGTACCAAAACCTCGCCTTCGCGCTCGGCTCCGCGTTGGCACCTGGGAACACGTGGCTGGCACAGCCTCGGGCTGAATTAGGCCTGGAGAGTGCGCATGCGTGGTCTCCTACAGCTCTGCTCCACTTGCTGTATTTAAGCGGTACGTTTAAAGCTAGGAGCCTTATGAATTTCCCGGTGTATCGGGAAGACCGCTCTAAAGAGAGACAAGCGTCCTTAAAACCACCTGTTGCTCTGCCACTTGTTGGCTACATAACTTCGGACAGGTTACTCTGATACTGACGAGGGTTCTTGGCCTTCTCCAATTCTACAGAAATTGACTAAAGGTATGGATGTGAGAGTTGGATCATAAAGAAGGCCGAGCGCTGAAGAATTGATGCTTTTAAACTGTAGTGTTGGAGAAGACTCTTGAGAGTCCCTTGGACTGCAAGGAGATCAGACCAATCAATTCTAAAGGAAATCAATCCTCAATATTCATTGGAAGGATTGATGCCGGGGAGTTGGTGATGGACAGTGAAGCCTGGAGTGCTGCAGTCCACGCGTTTGCAAAGAATCAGACAGGACCAAGCGACTGAGCTGAACTGATGCTGAAGCTGAGGCTCCAGTACTTTGGCCACCTAATGTGAAGAGCTGACTCATTAGAAAAGACCCTGATACTGGGAAAGATTGAAGGTGGGAGGAGAAGGGAATGACAGAAGACAAAATAGTTGGAGGGCATCACCTACTGGACATGAGTTTGAGCCAGCTCCTGGAGATGTTGAAGGACAGGGAAGCCTGGCATGCTGCAGCCCATGGGGTCACAAAGAGTTAGAACGACTGAACAACAAGAAGGTATACAAGAAATTCAGGGAGGACTTAACCGCGGCCCCTGTCGCTCCAAGTGGAAGCAAAAAAAAAGTAACAGGTTCCTTTTCTGGGGAAGAGCTGGGAGGGGAGGCTGGTGCCTTATTTGGGGTGAGGGCAAGGTGTGTCCAGGGTTCAAGCCAGAGGAGTGGCTTAGGTGTGTTCTGCCCACCCCTTTATGGTGTTGTGTGCAGGGGGCTACTCTGCCTTCTTAGCTCTCAACACCCGATTTTTGCTGCTGCAACCCAGGAAGGGACAGTTGGATTTTTTGGTCTTTTTATATCTTTTGGTCCAGAATTTGCCCCAACTACACACACACACACACACACACACAGAGTTATTTGACTTTAATGGCATCATTTTTCTCATGCATAAGCCAAGGATAATAATAGCATGCACTGCTTGCCTCATAGGGCTGTCAAAGGGCTCATAGTTTAACAGAGGAGTCATATTATGGCACTAGTTACAAAGTTCTAAGTCCCTCACACCCTCAAGGTGTGGCTGAAAGAATCTCAGAGGCAGTACAATGTAATGATTGGGACCATAAACCACAGAGGTGTGTTCTGATCCTGTTACCAGTCAAGGCACAGTTAGCTTCATTGAACCTCAGTCTTCCATCCTTGAAATGGAGGTAATAATACTATATCTACAGGATTGTTATGAGGTTTAAATGAAATAATATGTTTAAAGTCCTTAATATTGTGTCCACTCATTGGCAAATTCACAGTCAATTGGAGCTATTATTGTTATAACTAAACGTACTTGTAAGAATAGAGAAAAGGTTGGGCACAGTAGGACATTCCAAAGGCATTTGGCTTCTTTTCCACCACATAAAGCTAACCTTCAGTGAGTTCTGTAATTGCACCTATTTTCATGATAGGGCTCACCCCTCCAGCTGTGAGCTCTGGAGAAAACCTCTGCTCAGTCCCCAGAAGTGTGAACCCAGTAAGCCAGTGAGTATGTAAAAGCTGAAAGTAGCTGAGATCTGCTGTGTGAAAAATTTTTTCCTGCCTCTGAGTCTGAGCCTTGCCACACTAAGGCCACCCGCGTTAACAAAATTCAATCTCAGTTGTTATTCATCGGTGACCATCGAAAGACAAGGACCTTCATGATCTGGCCTGAAGGAGCCTCACCTCAGTTAAGAAGCCCAGCCATCAGGGAGAGTGACCAGGTGGCAGCCCCTTTCCCTGAAGAAGGCATTTAGTGGCAGAGACGTTCAGGAGAAGGCAGCTCTGCACACTCGATTTGAATTGCACATCCACAACCTATCAGCTTGTGATCTGGGGCCACCTTGTCAAACTTTCTGAGCCCTGTGTACTACTCTGTAAAATAGTGATAACAATAATAACCACCTCATATGGCTTTGGTGGGGCTTCCCAGGTGGCACTAGTGGTAAAGAACCTGCCTGCCAACCCAGGAGACATGAGACATGGGTTCTATCCCTGGGTCGGGAAGATCCCCTGGAGGGCATGACCACCCACTCCAGTATTCTTGCCTGGAGAATCCCATGGACAGATGAGCCTGGTGGGCTACAATTCATAGGGTTGCAAAGAGTCAGACACAATCAAAGCGACTTGGCATGCACGCAGGCATGGCTTTTGTGAGAACCAAAGGAAGTAACACTGGCACTTAGCATGGTACCCTGCATATATTTGTCATTTAAGCATTGGTTAGTTCTCCCTGTGCTCTGTAGAAGTCAGTCATTTCACCCTCTGCACCCACAGACCCATTGCAAGGCTTGGGGTCATGAGGAAGGTGTTTCTGGGCAATCTGAAAGAGGGTATCTGCTCAGATAAGAGGCCTGCAGGGGCTGCAGGCAGTCCAGCGGGCAAGAATGAGCAATACAGCAGAGAAGGAAGGGAGTTTTCTCACTAAGGGGGAGGAGGGCTTGTGGTTACAAGCATCAGAGAATGATTCAGCAGCCAGAGGAAACCATGAGAGGGCTGCCAGTCACCAGGCACCCAGGGCCTCCTTTTGTAAACTCTTTCAAGGTGAGAGAACAGCTGGGAGACACTGAATAATCCGCCCTTCACCCCAGAATAAGGAAGGTGGGGACCTCTAGGGTTGAGGGGAGGGACAACCAGATCCCACTCACCCAAGGCCAGTCGGCGTGGCCAGCATTCAGGCTCTGCTTCCAGCCCCAGCTCAGACACACCTGTTCCCTGGAGGAGGGGTGGGGGATGGGGAAGACTGATAGAGAACAGGAACAGGGAGTCCACGAGGCTGATCCCTAGACCTCCCTGGGGCATATCCACCTGTGTCAAGGGAAATTAGAGCAAGCAGGGAAATATGAGCCTACTGGCAATGGAAAGGGGAAAGGATACAGGCCTGCTCTACACCAGTCTCCCTCCCTTAGGCTGGGCCAGGTCAAAAATCTCCTAACTTTCCAGGGCTTCCAGATTCCAAGAAGCAGAATCTTGCCACTTGACGAGGAAAGAGTGTTGGGAGAACTGGGGGGTGACTGGGGTGTGCAGGGGGTTGAGGGAGTGTCCCCCATGTTGAATAACTGCTGTGTGTTCTCACTCATTCCTCACAAATATGCGATGAGACTGGGAGTCCACCACTCTGAACAGATGAGAGTTGGAGGGTTCAAGAGGTTAAATGACTACAGAGGCTATAGAGCCTAATGATTAAGCTAGCTCCCTTTGTTTGGCTGGGGTTTTTTTTTTGTTTTTTGGTTTTTTTTTTTTTTGGCATAAAGAGCTTTGACATTTGATTGTCTGGCTTTGAATCCAGGCTTTGCTGTTATTAGCTGTGTTACCCTTGGCAGGTTACTTACTCTCTCTGTGCCTCCATGTTCTCATCCTTAAATTAAGGATAAAATTACACATTTCACAAAGCTGTTGGATAGTCAAGTGCACTAATATATGTAAAATGCTTAGGCGGGGACTGGTGCACAGTAAGAACTCAGAAAATACTGACTCTTATTCAGACTGCTCATCAGAGATTCAAACTGAGTAAATCCAGAGACCCCAAATCACTTTGCTGGACAGCAAAAATTAATGCAACATTGTAAATCATTTATTATTGTTCAGTAGCTCAGTCAAGTCCGACTCTTTGACTCTTTGCAACCCCATGGACTGCAGCATGCCAGGCCCCCTGTCCTTCACCATCCCCCGAAGTTTGCTCAAACTCGTGTCCATCAAGTCAATGATGCCATCCAACCATCTCATCCTCTGTCATCCCCTTCTCCTCCTGGCTTCAATCTTTCCCAGCATCAGGGTCTTTTCTAATGAGTCAGCTCTTCGCATCAGGTGGCCAAACTATTGGAGCTTCAGCATCAGTCCTTCCAAAGAATATTCAGGACTGATTTCTTTTAGGGTTGACTGGTTTGATCTCCTTGCAGTCCAAGTGAATCTCAAGAGTCTTCTCCAACACCATGATTCAAAAGCATCAATTCTTCAGCGCTCAGCCTTCTTTATGGTCCAACTTCAATTAAAAAGAAAAAAGACCCACAACGCTACCTTTGATCCAGCACCTTCCTTACTCACTCATAACCACTTCATTTCTGAAGGCTGCTCACTTTTACCTTCCCCTCAACCCAGAGCAAACCCTTTTTTACCATCTCCTCCAACCAGGCAGTCTTCCCTCTATTCACCAGGGCTGAGTCTCCTATACCTGCAAGGCAAATTCCAAAGTCTGGACTGGCTACTCTCTCCCTGGACTCCAGGTAGTACGTGCCTGTAGACCAATCTGCATCTTGGGGGGGTCCAAACAGAGGCAATGTCTGTGATTCATTCATTCCTCAGATATTTGTTGAGTGCTAAACATTGGAGTAGATACTGGGAATGCTGTGGTGAACCAGAATAATGCAGTCCCTGCGCACAGAGTAGGTGTCAGAACAACAATAATTAACAAGCCATTAGTTAATCTGGAAAGGAAACGTGGCCTCAAGGGTGACTTGGGACCAGGAAGGCAGATATGTGACTCAGAAGTGGGAGAGCAGGGTACTCAGGAGCACCAGTTTGGGAGGGAATGAGTCTCTGAGTGTTTGGCCAGACCAAGGCTGGAGGATGGGAGCGCCTCTGTGGGCACCCGAATTTTTACTCTAGACCCTGAGGTTATTTCCAGGGTTGGTTTGTTGTCTCCTGTTTTGCAAACAGCGCAGCCGAGCCTCCTCCTCCCTCCCCTCCCCTTCAGATGGAGGCTATTTATTCCTAGTGACAAGCCTGAGGATCCCAGGGGGGGTGGCCTCAAGGACCTGGAGGGGCCTGTGTCCCTGGCAGGCGCCAGTGCTCCCTCCCAGGCAGGGCACGGGGAGGAAGTCGGAAGGTTGGGAACTGCAGAGGTCGGGGAGGACTTCCCTCCACCGCCCCTTGCAAGCGCCCCATCCATGCACACTCCTCACACCCCTTCTTGAGAAGCTCCAAAGTCATGGGGCCTAGGATATGAGTCTCCCTTGGGCCTCAAAGGTCAAAACTATTCCTGGGCACTGTGGAGACCAAGGGAGGTCTTCTCTGCTCCACGATGAGCTGGAGATGAGGCGGCGGTTACTTCTGTTTTCGCCACTTTAGAGTTGTGAAATAAAGCCCTTTGAAAGTCAGGGCCCTAGAGAGGGGGTCCTTACTTCATTCGTTTCCAGAGAACACCTTGGTTCCCACTGACAGCAGGGTAAAAACCACCCCCTCCTCCAGGATGGCCTAAGTCTTCTTTTACAAATTCAGGCTGAGTGTGATCCCTGGGGGTAAACTGGGAGGGGGCGGGAACACGAAGTGGACGCGAAGGAGGACTCTCGGTCCCCAAATGGACCTTGGTCTGCTGCCTCCGGGTATCCCTTGCCTGAGATTGAATACAGCTAGCCGCTGGGGGCGGCGGGGGGAAAGGAGATGAGGGGGGCGGGAAGGGACATGGGGGGAAAGGGAGGGAGGCCAGCAAAAGCTGAAGGGAGGGGACTGGGGCGGGGTCCTGGAGGCCCAGGAAGGTTGGGAGAGCCAGGTTAGGCCGAGCGAGCTGGGGCCGGCTCCAGTCTAAAAGGGAGGTGGGGGCGGGGTCTGGCCCCCAGCCTCCGGGACGAGGGCCGGGGGCGGGGTCCGCACCCCGCGGGCAGGGGCGGCCGGGGGCGGGGTCCGGGCGGGGCGGGCCCCCGCGCTCACTTCCTCGGGGAGGGATTGGGGCCGCGCTCCCACTCGCCCACACAGTCCGTGTGCCGCCGGCAGACTCGCCGGCTGCTCGCTCGGCTCCGGCTCGGCCCGGCCCGCTGGTTGGAGCCGCCGAGGGACGCGGCCCCGGCTGCCCACCTTCCCGCCCCCGCGCGTGAGCGCCGCGCCCCGTTCCCGCCGCCCGCTTCGAGGTGAGCTCCCCGCCGAACCTGGCTCCCCATCCTCGCTCCCTGCCCCCGCCCTCGGGCGGGAGGGGAGAGATGGTCAGCCGGGGGTTAAGGGTAGCCGCAGCCCCCGCCCTCTGCCCCGGGGCCCCGCCTGGGTCCGGCCGCGGGCGCCAGGAACACGCTGGGCTCGCCGATGGCGCGCGGACGCCGAGCCCCGGGGGCGCCCCCCGGACCGCACCGCCCCGGGCCGCCTGGCCGGGGCGGGGGCTGCTACGCGAGTTAGGCGGGGGAGGGGTCCAAGTTTGAAATGGAAAAGCGAGAATCGAGAGAGACCGAGAGAGAGGGTGAGAGAAACCGGCTTCCAGAAAGCCCGGTGGGAGCCGGAGACCGAGACTGGACAGGAGCGGCGGCGAGCTTAGACCGGAGGGTGCAGAGATACCCGAAACAGGGACAGAGACCAGGGCGTAGGTCACCAGGAGGCAGACCCGAGGCTTTGGGACGGACCCAGGGTTTGTGGAGCGGAGCCCTTTAGGAAAAAAGCATGCAGTGACCCCAGACGTGTTGTCGGCCCGGTCTAGGGCCTTGGAGGGTTCCGCGCAAATGAAGGGCCCCGGAGCTTAAACTTCATTAGTCTTGTGGTCATGCAGCCTCAGAGAAGCCTAGAGAGACATCCAGAGACTGGAGGCAGAGACACTCAGACATACAGAGATGCTAAGAGATAAGAGAAGGGCCGTAGGTAAGAACCGAGACATTCCACCCTTTGGAGACACTGAGATGCCAAGACGAGCGGAGGTAGAAATCCACAGAGGCTGAAGTTGGGAGATAGCCGGTCAGAGATCCAGACAACAGAGAGATACAGACACGAAACATACAAACAGCTGCTGAAGTACAGACACAGACGTCCGGAGTGGAGCAGAGTTAGATGCCGAGAGACAGATGTCACAGAGGGATGGTGACAGTTTCCAAGACAGACCCCGAGGGACTCAGGCCCCGAAAGATTGGGAGGGGAGGACATGGGGAAACAGAACTAGGGGGGCAGCGGACCTGAGACAGTAAGGCATCAAGAAGGAGCCTCACACACTGGTGGAGACAGCCCCAACTTATTTTTAAACTCCAATCTTGGACGCTCTGCTTCAGCCCTGGGGGACTTGGGGTGAATGAACTGTTCCTCTTCTGTCCCCAGAGCAGCTGCTGGATCCTGCTTCCCACCCCCACCCCACCCTTCTCCCAAACTGCTCTGACTCCCAGGCCCCATGGTGGAGGGAGGGGGGGGGGAGAAGAGAGTGAAGAGTTTGGGGTTGATGCCTGGTAGCAAGGATGAAGTGGGGGGAGTTTAATTTCTCCCCTCAAGTGCCCTGTCAACTCCTGAAAACTGGGGGAGGAGGGATCAGTTCTGATTGTGAGTCACAGCTGTGGGACCTGGCCAGGGTCCTCCTGGACAGTGGGGGGTAGAGGGGGGCAAAGGGGTTGAGCGGTTGGCATGGGTACTTGGAAAGACTTCTGGATGTCTTCCAGTCTCAGGGCCAGCAGCTGGGGAGAAGAGCCAGGCTCTTGTACAAGTGACACCACCCAGCATCTCCTGTCCCCCTGCTCTTAAACGCTGACCACCCCCTCCCCCACTGTTTCTAGGGAAATCGGAAAAGGCTCCCGGCTGGGAGGCAGGGGACCTGGGCTCTCTGATACCTGAGTGACTTTGGGCATGCTTCTGCCTTATCCCTGGCCTCTGTACTCAGCTGTAAAGTGAGGGTGATACACAATCCTCCCTGCCTTATGTGTGATCTGATAGATGGTAGGGGCTTCTCTGGTGGCTCAGCCATAAAGAATCCGCCTGTAATGTGGGAGCTGCAGGAGATACGGGTTCAATCCTGGGGTCGGGAAGATCCCCTTGAGAAGGGAATGGCAACCCACTCCAGTATTCTTGTCTGGAGAATCCCATGGACAGAGGAGCCTGGCGGGCTACAGTACATAAGGATGCAAAGAGTCGGACACGACTGAAATGACTTAGTGTGTACGCATAGATGGTGGGTGGGCTTTGTGAGAGGCAAAACAACATGCAGGCATGTATACCTGCACACCTATGTTGGAGCTTTCAGAGTTACGCTCACTGAAGTCAGACTTCCCCCACTGGTCTCAGTGAGCCCCGTAGCCTGGGCCTCCTCAGTTTCCCCAGCAGAACTAGGGGGTTCCCTTTTAGTTCTCTCTCTGGGCCCACCCTGAGAAGGTCAAGGTCAAGGCCCAGCCGGGCCCCCTGACCCAGGCCTGGCTGAGAAACTGTGGTCTAACCCCACTTTGAGTAAGGGGCTAATAATATCAATAAAAACAGTAAGAACTACCATTTACTGACTACTTAGTATCTCCCAGGTGCTTTCCAGGTACCATCACATTTATTTTGTTTTCATCACATCTAAGTCTGGCAACAACCCTAGGAGGTAGGAGGTAGTGTTAGATGGGAAAACAAGCTGAGGGAGCTTAAGTGACTTGCTCAAATCACCTAAGTTTATATTTCACAGTTCAGGCCTTTCCATACCACATGCTGCAGCCATTTAACCAGCCATTCTGAGCTGCAGGTTCGCGGGGAGGTGTGTCAGATGTGTGTGTCTGAGTCAGGTGTAGGGGTGTATGTGTGTTGGTGGGGGCAGCGGCAGAGCGCCATCTGGCAGATTGAGGAGTCTCCCCCGCAAACCCCTCCCAGCCATGGAGGAATACAAGATGGGCTCCCTTTAGCTCCCCAACCCTGCCAGGGAAAGGGGGCGGGGGGATGGGCAGAAAAAGGGCAGAGACAGGTGGGCCTTGAGAGTGCCCTTCACTCTGTCCTCATCAGAGCCCAGCTGGACAGACTAGGGGACCAGGGAATTCTGGGAGAGAAGCCGAAGCCACGCCCATACCCTATTTGGGGTGCCCCTGTCTCAGAGTGGTGACTGCCTCCCAGGGGGCGGACCTAGGACTAGTCTGGGCCTGGGAAGGTGGTTGCCGGGGGCCAAGCCAGGAAGGAAGGCAAGGCCCAGGGCTCTCCTGGAGCGATGCATGGCCACTCTCCACCTGTGCGGCCCCCTGCTGCCCAGTGGCCGACAGCCCAGGCAACCCTCAGATGTTGGGCCAGAAGAAACTCAGGCCTGAATGGTGGGGAGTGGACTCCACCCTCTAGCAAAGCCCCCAGCCCAGGAGTCTCCAATCTGAAGACCCCAGCCCCTGGTGGCTCCTGGCCTGGAGTGTGAACTGAGTGTCCTCCCATGACAGAAGGGTAGCTGTGAGCTCGAGTCGCCCCTTCAGAAGAGCCAGGCCCTCCAGGCCTGGGCCATCCGCTGGTGCCTGGAGTCTGAGTAACGCTTGTTGCTAGAATTTCCTGCTGGGGGTGGCTGAGAAAAGGAGGACTTTTCCTTCAACTTAAACCAGGCCAGGCTCTGGGGGCTGCCAGTTTCTGGGGTCTAATGGGGGGAGTGGGTTGGTGGGTCCCTTTTTGCTGCTCAGACTCATCTGCATCTGTGAGAAGATCCCCTTCCCAGGGTCCTGGTGGTTCCTCTCCACCCAGGATCCCAGTCCTCAGAGAGCGGGCTTCTTGATGGAGGAGGCTGGGGTGGGGAGCTCTGAATTTGGGCTCAAGATGGGAACCAGGGGCAGCAGAAGGGACCGGGAACCCCACTTCCTAACCCTCCCTACTCCCCAAGCTCCTGCTGCAGAGGCAGCTGTGTGGATGACCTCATCCCACAAACATGCTTTGTTCCTGAGAAAATGGAAAGTGTCTGAGGTTTGGTGGGGGGCTGGGTGTCTGCAGCAGCAGCTCTCCGTGCTCCCCCTTGCCTGACTCCCCACCCTAGAGGGGGCCTGACTGGAGAGTAAATGTCTTCAGTGGCTCCCACTCACTCACCCTTCACTCCCCCAGCCCCAGACCCTTAGAAAAGCTGGAGAGAGGCTGTCTTCTCCCAGAGGCAGGGGGAAGGAAATAATGACACAGGGGATGGAAAGATTCTGGGGCTCTGCCAGGCACTGCCAGGAGTGATGCCCAGCAGGAGAGAGGGCAGAGGGCACACTGCATCATCGCCTGTTCCCCTCTCTGTCCCCAAGCATCTCATTTCCCTTTTTTTCTCCCCTGTTGCTGGCAAAACCTGACAGCTGGCCATCTGTGCTGTCACAGCTGCTGCAGATGTTGCAGGCCAAGGCTGCCCAGGCTGATGTGGCCAAAGATGCAGAGGGAAGTGGTGTGGGGTGAGGGCAGAGGGTCCAGCTGGGGAAGCTTGGCTGTGACCAGCTTGCAGGATTTCCTTCCTGGTTAAACCTGGGCTGAGCCTCTGAAGTCCTTGTTGTTGGATTCTCCTGGGAAGGGAGGCCCAATGTTATTTCTCCCATCAGCCTCCTCCACGTCTACCATTCACTGGCCCAGCATCCTTCTTACACTCTGCTGTTTCCTGAATGGGGTTAAGGCAGGGAGAGGGGGGTGGTGCAAATAGCCCCATAGTCATCCCAAAGCGCCTCACTCCAGGCCTCTGGCTATGTCCCTTCCTGGGAGTCAGGAGACGTGAGAGTCCTGTTCAGAGGGGAGAGGGTGGGGTGACTCCTTGCCCCTGCTCTTACACCCTCTTGGAGACAGTAAAGACAGTGGAGGCTAAGCTCAGGCTAACTGTAGGGGCAGGAAATGAGTCACTGACCCAGGAAAAGCCCCCTTCCCCCAGTTCTGCCAGGGCCCAGATAAGAAAAGAACTTCTGCTTCCTGATTTTTTCCTGACCCCCCTCACCCCCAACGTTAAATACAGAAATAAACATGCAGGACTTTTGTGTTCCCAGAAGCACCCATTCCCCATCACCATCTGCTCTGACCTGGCATTTCCTATGCCCAGTCTCGTGTTCTTTTTTTTCAATGCAGTGTGGCTAAGCCACAGCCCCTGGGGGTGACCGCCGCCCCACCGTGTGCCCCTCGCAGGGCTCACTCACAGCCACCATGAGCGAAGCCTTCGACTGTGCCAAATGCAGCGAGTCGCTTTACGGGCGCAAATACATCCAGACGGACGATGGCCCCTACTGCGTGCCCTGCTACGACAACACCTTCGCCAACACGTGTGCCGAGTGCCAGCAGCTGATCGGGCACGACTCACGGGTAAGGACTGGACCGCGCGGGGCAGGGAGTGGGTGGAGGCTGGCAGGAGGGGGCAAGTGTGCCAGCACCCTTGCCGCACTCCCCCAGGAGCTGTTCTACGAAGACCGCCACTTCCATGAGGGCTGCTTCCGCTGCTGCCGCTGCCAGCGCTCCTTAGCCGACGAGCCCTTCACCTGCCAAGACAGCGAGCTGCTCTGTAACGACTGCTACTGCAGTGCCTTCTCCTCGCAGTGCTCCGCCTGCGGGGAGACCGTCATGCCCGGTATGTTCCCGAGGGCTCACTGTGCGTGGGACTGGCATGCCTGGCATCTACGTAGGATCCGTGCATGTGCATGGGACTGGCATGCCTGTCTGATACATACAGGGAGGCTTGATAAAGACCTGCCCATGCCACACGTTCCTGGAAATTGTGTGCAGGATCTGTTGTGCCTGTTTGCTCTTTGGAGCTTAGCACGTTTAGGGACTGACACGCGTGATACACACCTGGAGGCTTAACACGTTTGGCACACGTAGGGTACTGAGACTGTCAGTGTTTGTTGCATTGGGGCTTGTGTGCAAAGACAGAAAAGACAGATACATAGGACTTAACACATATGGTGACCTGCATGGCTGGTAGAATGTGAGGATTTAGAACACATGGAGATTGGCAGGATGAGGATATATCAGGGCTTCCTATGTACTGAATCTGTCATGTCCAAGACATTGGACTCGCTTGCCTCGTAGATGGGGGTCTTTGTGTGTGTGCTCACACTATCACATCTGCTGTATAAGGGCTTGCTTAGCATATACTGAGTCATCGCGCCCATCACCTGGAGGCTTGGTAGCAGCTGAGGTCGTCATATTCTGGGACAGGTGGGGACTTCACTTAGGCCAAACCCTCAGGTCACGTGCTCAGCCAGCATGTCTGGTGTTGGGGGAAAGTTAGCATGTGCAACATACGAGGTGGGGACCCCGATGAACATGCATGGACACCTTCACCTTCAAGGCTGCGGGAGCAGCAGGGACCCTCCTGGAGGGTAGCAGAGGGTGGCACTCAGGAGCTTGGGACACAGCCTCTGAGTGGGACCCCTGTTCCCCGCAGGGTCCCGGAAGCTGGAGTACGGAGGCCAGACATGGCATGAGCACTGCTTCCTCTGCAGCGGCTGTGAGCAGCCACTGGGCTCCCGTTCCTTCGTGCCCGACAAGGGTGCCCACTACTGCGTGCCCTGCTATGAGAACAAGTTTGCTCCTCGTTGCGCCCGTTGCAGCAAGGTGGGGGTGGGGCGTGGAGCTCCACTGCACTCAGGGGAGGGGGTGAGCAAGGCTCTGTTGCGGGGTGGAAATCCCCACACCCCCCCCCCCCAGCTGATAGAGGCTGCCCCCACAGACACTGACGCAGGGTGGCGTGACATACCGTGACCAGCCCTGGCATCGAGAATGCCTGGTCTGCACTGGGTGCCAGACGCCCCTGGCAGGGCAGCAGTTCACCTCCCGAGAGGACGATCCCTACTGTGTGACCTGTTTCGGAGAACTCTTTGCACCCAAGTGCAGCAGCTGCAAGCGCCCTATCACAGGTGGGTCAGAGGGTCCAAAGACTGGGTCGGGTGTAGACTGGGGTGGGGGATGGGGAACCTGGTCTCCGTGAGGCCAAGGGACAAGACCCACCCTCCAGATGGCAGCACTAATCCTCAGCCTCCCTCTAGGACTCGGTGGAGGCAAGTATGTGTCCTTTGAAGACCGCCACTGGCATCACAGCTGCTTCTCCTGTGCCCGCTGCTCCACCTCCCTGGTGGGTCAGGGCTTCGTGCCGGACGGAGACCAAGTGCTGTGCCAGGGCTGCAGCCAGGCAGGGCCCTGAGCCAGGGCTCCCGGACTAAGGCTCCTTCTCCAGACCGCCTCTGGGACCCAGCCTCTCCCCAATTTGGGGCTCCCCTTGGGCTCCAGGATTCAGCCTCCCCACTCCAGCGTCCTCAATCTGGTACTTCCTGACCCAGGGCCCCCAAACCCTGGACTCTCCCGGAGCCTTCATCATCATTCAAATCCCCTCCCCAAACCTGAACTCCAGAACTCTCTCCTCTCCCTTCAGGTCGGGCTTGCTTCCCAGACCAAGCCCTTTCCCCAAATCAGGGCTCTGGGACCCAATCCCCCTTCAATCTAGACTTCTCTCCAAAGACTTTAGGTCTCCTATGGGTGCCTGAGAGGTCCTCAAAAGTCGAACATACTCAGGCCTGACGCTCCCCACCCCTGTCCCACCGGGATCCCCAAGGATGGGGCTGTCTGGGCAGCACTGGTTAGGGGGTCCTAGGGTACAGGTCTTTGCCCATCCCGTGTTGTGAGTGTTTTTCTCTTTTCATTTCAGCTCCATTCTGCCCAGAGATGGGCAGAGGGGTGGGTTTGGCTCGCCCCCCTCTTTCAGATTCTGCAATAAAGCAGTATGAGAAAGTGAAGGCCTCTGTTTGGCTGGGGGTTGGGGGAGCAGGCGGAGGTGGGTGGAGGGGCAAGGAAGGGTCCTTCGCACCCAGGGACTTGGAGGCTCGTCCCACCTCCTCCCTGCAGAGCAGGAGGAAGCTTCCAGGCGGGGTGGGAAACCTCTCCCGAGAAAGGGGATCCCCGCCGCCGCTACCGTCCGTCTTTGGCTTAGTCGGCCTCCCTTCCACCTCCCCCGCCTTCTGGCAAAGGACTTTTTCCTCCGGTGAGGAAGGGAGGGATTTAGGGAGGTTGCGGATCGGAGCCTGGGCCGGGGAGGCTGGTGTTGGCTTCCCCGCCAGGTACAAGTCTCTCCCCTCCCTTAATAACCACCTCTCCGAACCCCACGAAGCATCCAATGCGAATCCCCAGTCTGGGCCCAGACCCTCAGCCCCCTTCCCCCTCTTCCCTAGGATTAGCGGAGGCGGCCCGGGATCCGCTCGCGACCGCACGTTTTTTGCCAAAAAAGGCAAGGATGCAGCTGCACGCGCCGCGGGAACATCTGGATCCGATTCCCGGCATGAATGGGTCATGGCCCCGCCCCATCGTGATTCAAGGGCGGGGGCGGGAATGAGCCCGGGGGTGGGGGGGCTGTCCCCCAAAATAAGGCGATGGGGCGGAGCGCTGCTCCCCTCTCCCGGCGTCCGACGCCCCTGCCCCTGCGCTCTCGGCGGCCTGCGGTGTAGGCTCCGCGGTCTAGACTGGCGGAGCTCGACTCGTGCGCTCCGGCGGCCGGCGCGGGCTGAGCCACTGACGTCCCGCCCGCGGCCTCCCCCCGGGTGGGGGCCCCCGGCCGGGCGGGCGGACCTTCGGCGCCCAGTGGGGGAGGGGCCCTTCGGGCCGGCAGAACCGCGTGATTATATGTATCTGAAATGAAATCCTCCCCGAAATTCTATGGGGCGGGCGTTTTTCCACTTCACAGAGGTGGAGACTCTACTTGTCAAGTTCCCGAAATAGGTAGATCCGGGGTTCTACTCCTTTCCACACTGCCTTCCCGGCCCAATCTGAATCCTCAACTTTGACATTTTCAACAAACCTTGATGAATGCCCACCATGTGCTTATCATTAATGATTGCATGTTGACATTTTCGTCTCTTTCTTCCACCAGCCTCTGAGGGTTTGATTCACGCCTGCCTTGCTCACCCCTCCACACTCAGCCTCGGGCACTTAACTACATGTTCAATAAAGAACTTACTGAGGAAGAGTAGTCCAAGCATAGAAAACAGCTAATGCAAAGACCTGGAGGCCTGAAAAAAACATATGGTGTATTTTGAGGAAGCAGCGAGTAATTTCATTTGGAGGAAGTGCCGAAAGACTAAAACAGCAGGCAGCAGCCAGGTCATGAAACACCGAAAGCCAAGTGAAACAGACCTCACCCTGTGGGTAAACCAGGCAGTGGAAATCTTTAAGCAGGGGCGAGAGATGATCACTTCGCTGCATAGTAAATAATGGATTGGAGGGGTAAGATGAGTAGGCTGGGGAGGAGGCTGGTGCAGTGGTGCAGGTGAGAGATAGTGAAACAGGTGGCAGCTGGAGTGGAAAAGACAGGACTTGGTGACCGGTCTGAAGGAATGAGGAAGGAGAAGGTTTAAGGGGAAGGAAGGCATCAGGTGAATGGTGCTCAGGTGACCCATCCACCTAAGAGGAAAGAGATGTGCAAGTACAATAATGGATCATTGATTTCAAGATAAACATTTTTCAGATTTATGACCTCAGAAGCCAGATGCAACCATATAATTAACCATGTGACATAGCTGAATTGAAAAAAAAAATTTTTTTCCTTTCTTTATGAACCATAAAACAATGGTGGGGTTAACACTTGATAGTGTCTCATATGTGTTGAAACATGGTGAATCCCAAACCTTTACCCTCCCACCCCCACCCCTCAAAAGATACACACACTGAGTCTGCAATCCAGAAGAGGAATTTCTTACCTCTCTCCCAGAGATGCAGGAAAAATTTCTGGGGATTTGTTGTGTCTGGGGGTCCTATCCCTAAGTTGGAGGTCTTGCTTAAATTTTTAGACACTAGCAACAGGCAACCACTCACCTACTTTCTATCTATATAGATTTGCCATCTGAACACACACTAATGTGTTTTTCTTTGCGTGTCTGCCTTCTTTCACATAACATGATGCTTTTATGGGTCATCCATATTGTAATATTCCTTCATTGCTGAATAATGTTCCATTGTATGGATACATCATATGTGGTCTGTATATTTACCAGTTAATGACTTTGGGGGTTGCAGCTTTGTTGATAACGAGTAGTGCTGCTATGAATGTCTGCACATATGGACATAGGTTTTCATTTCTCCCCTAGATGTGGGCATGTAGACTTGTTTCTTTCTTTCTTTCTTTTCCCCCTCCAGTTATATAGTATTTTACTGCTTGAATGCACTATATTTTATTTAACCAGTCCCTTGGGTTTCCCAGGTGGCATTAGTGGTAAAGAACCTGTCTGCCAATGCAAGAGACATAAGAGATGTGGGTTTGATCCCTAGATGGGGAAGACCCCCTAGAGGAGGGGATGGAGACTCACTCCAGTATTCTTGCCTGGAGAAACCCTTGGACAGAGGAGCCTGGCTGGTTTTGGTCCATAGGGTCGCAACGAGTCGAACATGACTGAAGCGACTTAGCACGCACGCAGCACTGCTGACAGACAATATCAAAAGAAAGGAAGGGAAGGAGAAAGAAAAGAAGAAAGGAAAGGAAAAAGACCAGCGATCATCCTCATTTTACTGAGGGGAAAACGTTGTCACAGGTCACACTGAACTGGAGACTCAAGTTCCGGTTCTCCAGCTCCCATCCGTGCTCCTCAGCTACTCAATCCAGCCCGGCCGCGCAGCTAGGGAAGTCCCCGCAAGCCAGGTTAGATTTCTTACCGCCAGGCTGGTGGATTTCTGTGTGCCCCCTAGAGGCACCTGCAAATCGTTCGGTATCGCGCCACACCCCCTCGACCAGCAGGGGGCACTGCAGCCGTCTCCATAGCACCGACTGGATCTCTAGCGGTGCTCACTTTTCCTCCAGTCCCCGAGGAACTTCCGGCAACCGCGGAACTTTGCTGCCGCCGGACTCGTAGCTTGCGGACGCGGGCGCGCAAGGCGGCAGGGGTTGTTTCCGGTCGTGTTGGTGGTCTGGGTTGGGTTGCGGCGGCAGCGACGGCGGCGGGGGAGGAGGAGGAGGGAAGATGGAAACGATTCTGGAGCAGCAGCGGCGCTATCATGAGGAGAAGGAACGGCTTATGGATGTCATGGCCAAAGAGATGCTCACTAAGAAGTCCACGGTGAGTGGGCCTGGGCAAGGGCTACCCTAAGGCCGGACCCCCTGCCCGGGTTTAACCTCAGAGCTTTTTTCAGCCCTCAGACCCGCCCCGCTCCGAGCCCTTCGGGAGATTCCCTCCCCGAGCTCAGGCCTAGGTAACCATTCCCCGGGGCCCAGCGCCCAGAGGCCTCTCTGCTTGGGCCGCTAAGACCCTAGCGGGTAAGCTCCGCCCTCGGGCGGCCTTCCTCAACTCCAGAATTCCGACTAACGACGTCTATGTCACCGTTTGCCTTTCTTCAGCTCCGGGACCAGATCAATTCTGACCACCGCACACGGGCCATGCAAGATGTGAGTGTCCTACTGTCCGCTTCTTTTTGGGCGCGATCGACTAGAAGAGGAAGGAGGGGGTGCAGGGACAAAGGTAGCCGATTGGCCAGTCGAGGGGTTTGTATGCCTGCCAAATGTCCACGCGCTGCCAAACCTGAGGATGCTCAACCAACCTTACTCGCTTCTCCGAATGGAGAACTCACTCATTTTTAATTACTAGAGATCCCCTTTATAGCATCCTGTGTCCCATGGATGTGCAAAGAGTAGTTATGAGGTGTCAATGCCTCGGGCTTAGACGGTACTCTCCTCCCCCATAGAAAAGAATAAAAGACCCTAATCAGAGTTTCTGATTTAGGGTAGATAAATGAGCATTACAAGCCCCTAATCCCTTATCTAGATTCCCAAATCCAAAGTACTCTGAAAACAAAAGATTTTTAAATTTGTTTTGGAAATTACTTGGTGGCAAAAATCTGACTTGATCTGATCAGATGAGAGGTTTTTTATGGCCTTTATTCCATTTAATAAATAACATAACTTTAAGTGCAGAACTAAAATTCCAAATTCTGAAGCAAACCTGGTCCCAAAAGTTTTGGAGAATGGGCTTTGTACTTGTGCCATCCTGAATTTGAACCCAAAGGAAGCTGTGTGATGTTTTACTTAGCCTGAGCACTCCTTAGTCAAGCCTTTTGAAATAGTGAAAGTCATCTTCAACGCTCCTTTTATCTTTGAGGGTCTTTGATGAGAACTGCTGTTTTCCAAAGAAAAACTGCTGTTTCTCTTACATGACTCTCTTTTACAATACTTCTATTTTTAGTCGATAAGTCCTATCAGACTTGCAGCCCAACGGACTGTAGCCCATCAGGCTCCTCTGTCCATGGGATTTCCCAGTCAGGAGTACTAGAGTGGATTGCCGTTTCCTTTTCCCTATCCAGGGATCTAACCCACCTCTTGTACAATGGCAGGTGGACTCTCTACCACTGACCCACCAGGGAAGCCTGTGACTTTTCTAGGGAAAGTTAAATATAGGAACTCTGTCACCCCTCAAAACACATCACTTAGGTAATCTTCAGAGTGATCTATTTTAAAAATTAGCTAGGAGCCAGTGCTCTGTTTAAGGGTACCAGAAAGCATAAGAACTTTTAATACCACATCTTTTGATATTTTCCTGGGATTTGACTAGAGAGCCCTTGCTGGTTGCTTGGGTCTCAGTTGTACGGATTGCTTCATTCTGATGGATTTGTGTTTGCCTTTCAGAGGTATATGGAAGTCAGTGGGAATCTGAGGGATTTGTATGACGACAAGGATGGGTAAGTGACAGTCACCTTCAGTCCAGGAATTATTGCTTTTGAGGGGCCATGGTTAAAGGACTGACTTTGTGCTCCATGTTTCCCG